GTGAGGGAGGGCTTCTTTTCAATATGGGAGAACGAAGGTTGTATGTATGCCGAAGGGGAAGTGCTATTTTGTTTGGTTTGGAAACAAGCTCTCCTGGAATTCAGAGAAGGGACTGATCCCAGAGCTAGCTGCAGGGCTCGGGGAAAGCTCTGTGAAGAAGGGGGCTTTTCTCTTTTGCTTACTTAAAAAGAATGCACCTTATCGCCTACACACATGGATTGAGGTGATTTAAAATAAAACTGTGCACACAACAGTAGGAGGGTTAGTGGTAGAAACCGAGTGCTCAGAAAAGGAAGAGGGAAGGGTGTGACACCCGTGTAGTGTAGCAGTTACTGAACTTGAACTCTTAGCTCTTGGTGGCTGGGATAAGGGGGAAGCGTGGAGGGCCATTTAATTCCCAAAGCATGATAGAAAGGAGCATGCTCATTCTTAAATCGAGACACATTCTCTCCTTGTGCTAAATGCTGAAATGACCTTGGCGGGCCGCATCGTATGCAGCTGAGTGGAAGGACAGAACAGACGAGGAACTGGGCCTTGAAGGGAGGGCTGGGGACCGGCATGAGTCCAAGCCGAGCACCCCAGTTGCACTCAGAAAGCCGGGTGGCTGCAGGGGCCTGGCAAGGTGGGCCTGGAGTCAGGCCACTCAGATGTCTGCACTGGGAGTCTCAAGCAGACGGGCGGCAGGGACACCAGCACCTGCTTTGTTAGTGTCGTTTTCAGGAAGGATGGATGCATGGTGCATGGCTCCTACAGGGTCTGTGGCCCGGCGTGAGATGGGAGAGTTTGGAGCAGGGTGCATTTGGTGGCGTGGAGGACGTCTGTCTGGGTAAAGAGCCAGAAGGGCTTTTTGTTGGTTGGTTTGTTTTTCTGGAGGAGGGGGGAGCCAGGAACTGGAGAATTGGGGGATAAACTTCATACTGTGGAAAAGAAGGGGTGTTTAACCAAGGTTAAGTATTGGGAGGGTCAAGATGGAGGACTCCCAGGAGCCAAGGGCTGACAGTGCTGAGAGGTGCCAAACCGAGTCGACATGCTCTTTGCACGGGAGGATGAGTGTAAACAGCAGCAGCTCCTGGGCCCATGGCGGCGCTGTGTCTAAATTACTGAATTAGGTACATGGCTCACTTTAGGAGGACTAGGGTCATGAGGAGGATGTTCTGGTTGCAGCAGGATGCAGCAGGTGAGCTGCTGCTCTGGAAGCAGGGCACTCCTTCAGCCAGTCTCTCCCCAGCTCCCTGCCCACGTGCAGAT